GCCCCGGGGGGAGATGGGCCCCGGGGGGAGCTGGGCACCGGGGGGACATGGGCACCGGGGGGACATGGGCACCGTGGCCGGGGGGGAGGAACCTCTGCAGCAAAGGCCAGAGCTCTGCGGGTCTCTGACAGGCCTCGGAAACCGCCTGAAAACTCCTTATGGCAGAGGCTCGGTGCCGGGGGTCCAGGAGGGGTGGCAGCGGCGTGAGGGCGTTGTGTCCCCTCGCGGTCCTGGGTGGTTCCCGAGAAAAGCCCAGGCCCTCGAGGTTCCGGGCTGGCGCGTTTTGCCCATGACATAAACGCATCCCGGTGTAGGCGAGGGCCGAGCAGGCGGGTGGGCTCCGGGGGTTGCGTGGGGCTGTGCCGAGCTGGGCTCTGCCCGTCCCCGCGGGGGGGTCTGAAGCGCTGCCTCCAGCCCTGCTCCCTGCTGCAGGATCCACGTGTACACTCACCGGCGCATGGCCATCGCGGCCGAGGACGTCTGCCTGGAGAGGGTTATCCCCATCACAGAAGGGTTCGCCGTGGAAGAAGGTACTAAAGCCCCTCGGTGGCTGGGGCCCCCTCCAGAGAAGGGGGTGAAGGCGGCTGGAGCCCGTATTTTGTTGTTCTACTCACTGAGATTTGGGATCTGTTCAGCCTTCGCATTTTTTCTTCAATTTGTAACCCCTGGTGACGCTTGTGTGTCACATGGCAGAGCGGGAAGGGCCCTGCTAGATCAGCTGCTCTGCAGCCCAGAGCACCCTGTGCCCCCCGAGCGCCAGCCGTGGCCTCTGGACAGGTTTCTCCCGTCTCCGTTTGCACCAGGAGTATTTGGGGCTGGAGGAACTTGGCCAGCTCAGAGTATCTGCGCGGTCTGCAAACCCGTCGCTGAGCTTCCTAACTGAACTGTGTTTTGCTTTTACAGTTGTACTTGACAGTGACCTTCGTGTCATCGGTGAGTGCCGTTAGTGCCTGTGCACGGGCATCCCGGGCCTGCACCGGCCGCACTCAGGGAGGCGGGAGCGGGGGCTCCCCTGACCCGGCCCGTGATGGGGGACTGGTCCTGCGGCTGCTGGGGAGCCCGGCGTGCTGCTGGCCGTGATGCCAGTGAGCGTTGTCACCCAGTTCAACCAAAATAATGATTTTTCCAAATGCTTTTAAATGGTTACTGGGAGATTAATTACTGTCACTGAATGAGCAGGATAAAAAATATTATAGCCGCCAACTCTTATGTTTTTAAATGGCTTTCTTGTGTGCAGGGTGGAGAAGGCGCGGGGGGGGTTTGTTGCTGAAGTCTGCACACATGCACTCGCCGCTGCCGAGTGGGGAGGGTGCTGGGTTCCTGTGGGCTCGCCAGCCCTGACCACAAGATCTCTCTCGTCTTTAGGCTCTGACGTGACTATCCAGATAACTTCAACGGGCGATCGGCTCACGGTGCGGCTGCCTTTTGGCTCCCACACGCGCACGTTCCTGCAGGAGGTCAGCAGGTGCAGGGCAGGTACGAGCCCTGGCGGGTGCTGGGGGTGGCCCGCGGGTTGGGGGGGGCGGGCTGGCCGGTCGCCTTGGCACGTTTCTGCTCCGTGTAGAAGAGCAGCATCGGCCTCTCTGCGGCCGAGACTAGCACGGGACCGTCCCGGTGAGGAGTTGGCGGCCGTTGGCTGAGCAGACACAGGTGCCGCAACAAGGAACCTGCTGCTTGTGCCGTCCTGAGGCCAAATGGAAGTTCCTTTGGGCCGGGGCTGTGAAAGACCAGGCAGAGTTCTGAAGGTGGCAGCTCGCTTCGTCCCCGCTCGCCCTGTCCTCCCACCATTGTTGCCACCTCCCAGCCGGGCCCAGCCTGGCACAGTTTTCACAGGGGGTGGCCGGTGCTGCCCACCCCGTCCTGCCCCGACCCTGCTCGGCGCTGTGTCCTCCTCCCCTCTCGCCGGGTGGGTGCTTTGCTGCACAGCCCGCGGTCTCCCTCTTTGCAGACCGCATGTGTGAGAAGATTCAAGAGAGCTACAGCAATTCCTGGAGGTCAGTGTGGGATTCAGAACCTGAATTACACCATTTCTCGTTTGCCCACCTTCACAGAGGCTGTGCTCCCCTTGATTCACGAAGGCACAGTTTGGTGTTGCTGGCGTTCCTTCTTCTGAGTTCTGTGTTTGTAGGGTGTTAAAAAAGAGAAGGGATGAACTCTGGAGCTGTCGGCTGCGCGGCAGGGGTTGAGCCAAGGTCGGGATCAGGGAACATCCCCTCAGATGTGGGGTTTTAACTGGTAGCTTAGAACTGACTGGGAGCGACTGGGGCATATCTACATGGTTAGGAGGGAAAGCAGGCTGGATGAGACCCAGCCCTGGCTCCTTCGCTGGCGTGGTTTCGTTGTATCTGGAGCACAGCAACGCGCTTTGGCTCCTTGGGAAATAGGTCTCCTATCAGATCATGCCTTTGTGCTTTGACAGAGTTGCCTTTTCCAGGCTTCATTGTGTTTTTCTTGAGTCAAAAGGAGTCTAGGGATCTTTTTTATGTTTTTTCCTTTGGTCTTGTATTAGCAGAAGAAAATGCTGTCTGCCATCCTTTGGGGTCTTTTGGAACATGAATGAGGTTTTGTCTGCCGTTTTCCAGGAACAGCTGTAACTCCTTCTGTCCTTAGATGAACACACACACTTGAGTCAGCAACTTTCACACACAAATCAAAGGACATTTAAATACAGTGTGATGCGGTGGTAGAATGATACTAGTTCACGATATCTTCTGTGAATTAAGGCTGTCCAATGAATGGGAGCATCTACAAAGGGATTTAAACATGCTTCACCTTGTAGTTTATGGTCACAATTGTGGTGAAAACCCCGACCTGAAGTCCAGCCTGTGTGCCTGTGTGTGCAGGCACAGCCGCAGTGGTGGTGCTGCTTCACTTGGGACCCCCAGAAGAACAAGCAGGCTCCCCCCAGGCCGGGGCAGCACAGTCCCGCTGGACTGTTCCTTACACCTCCTTTATGTGACGAGCAGACTGGCTAAGAGCCATATAACTAAAAATGCCAAGGCTAATTAATTCTCGCTTTTGAACACTGAGCATGGATCCTCCTTTATCCAGGAGACATGATACGTTTTCCTGCTGTAGAACAGTCACTGCACGTTTCTAACAAGAACGTCTTTATTACTGCTTAAATCTCTTTTAGCTGCAAATCCTGTCTGATTCAGGCCATGCATATTCTGCTCTTCTGTAATCTCTGTGCACAGCTCTTTAGTTCTGTGCCCAGTGCAGTTACTGAACCAGGTCATTGTCTTGCTAAAATATTCCGCTGCAGGTTGGTGACATATAGATCCCTCTGGCTAGAGCCATCTGTATCTAGATGTAAATTTATCTAAAGGAAACAGCCCTTTTCTAGGGCTAATCTCTTTCTTGGGAGCATCCTGCCTAAAACTGATTTCCACTAGTGAGCTGGAGTGCAGAAGTGTGGCGTGTGACTGGGACCTTTGGATCACGTAGCAGCCGCGCCAGCAGCACGGAGCTCTGGCCGTTCTGGCACCTTCTGCCTGCTGGCAGGTGCCGTCGTCCCGTGTGGGAGCTTCTCCCCTCCCCTTCCAGGTGCAACACTTGTCTGGTGCTGAGAAAGTTCCACTGGTTCTTGTTGCTGTCGAGGTACGTTGCGTGGCCTTTACCGGGAGAGCCGGCAGAGGCGCGGGCAGCGCTGCTGACGTGCTCCATGCCCGTGGAGGAAAGTTCCCCGCTCGCCCAGACCCTGCCCGCCCGCGCCCAGCCCCGTCAGCCCTCCCCGGCTGCCTCTGGCCTCCCCAGTGAGTCCGAGTCACGTGTGCCGGCAGCCACCCGCGATAAAGCCTCTTACGCAGTCTTTATTCTCAGAGGGCTCTTGGGCAGGAGAGGTTTTCCAAGCTGAGAATAGAGCCACTTCTTGTCGGCTTGTTTATGTTCTGAGTGCTTCGGTAAAGTACTTCAAGTTCTGTTTCTGGTTTGCACTCTCGTCCTGGACAATGTACTGTGACAGCGACAACATTTTAATTTTTCTGGATTGTGCTCGCTGAAGAAGTCCAGCTGAATGACTAGAACCTTAGAATTTTAAGAACAATTTCTGTATCGTCGTCAGCTTTATGTGCTAAGTAGCACAATCTTGAGCTTGCTGTTTGTGCATCTTAAACACGGAGACACCCCCCCCCCGCAGAATCCTCTTTTTCAACTGTTATTTTTCCACTTGTAAAATGTTGTAACTGAAACAAAATGCTGAAAGACTGGTCAGATTTTGCTAATGTAGTGTCACGTGTTGAGTGTCACACCTGTATTTAGTTGTATTTGCGTGGTAGCAGCCCTGCTACTTTTTCAGGAATGTGCAGTTGCACAGAGGCACTTGTTTCTGCGGAGGTAGTGGGCTGGTGGTGGCTCCGTTCTGTGCTGCCTCGAGAGGGGAGACACTTGTGCTTTGCTGTGTATTTGCAGATAGGTAGAAACTCATTCAGTGGTTGTGTGGTGGGGTTTTTTTTGATTTTTTTCCCCATTTACTTCCTTCCTTTGTACTTCCTGTCTTGCTTCAGAAAGGAAAAACCTGTTATTAACGTTCATTTTCTGGATTCCCAGGATAAAGCCCTGGACTTTGTGCTGCTAAATCCTGGTTTGGCTTAGCTGTAAGGGAGAACCAACAGCAACGCGCTCCAGCAGCGGGCAGGCAGCACCCTGCAGTTCTGCTGCTCCCCGTGGCTGCACGGCAGGCTGCTGTCCGTCCCGCTCGGCATCGTCACACGGCAGTCCTGTCAAAATAAGCCAAATCTATCAGATAACGGAAGGAGAGACTGTTGGGTGCTCTGTTTCTCCACACAAATCTAAATTATGTTTTGCTTACAGATTCTTGCCAGCCTTTGCATAAGTGTGTCGATAAATTGCAGTACTCTCTGCGTTTAGTGTGAAACTCTCTGTTTTTTTCCAGAAGCGGTTGGCTCTGAAGGCATCAGACAGAATGGAAAAAAGCTCCCAGCCAGTCAGCACCGGGGCCACGACAGCACCGATAAAAGTGCTCCCAGGTGTGTATCTGTGCCGCTCCTCCCGCAGGTTTGGTGAAGCAGTTGAAGGGGGATGTGCACATCAACTAGTGAGGAGTCAAAGCGGCGGCAGCGTTTCCTTGCCGGTTTAGCTGTGCCGCCCTCCACGGAGGATCTCTGTACAGGGACAGTAAATAGATCCAGCTCCCAGGTCTGGCGGCTCCTGGGTGACTGTGTGTGGATGGAGTGAATGTGGTGGGCAAATTGTCGATGCTTCGATGTCTGGAGGAAGAAGAAGAGAGTGCAGAGAGCTTTCTGTCTGGGCTTCCTGATCTTCGGAGGTTGGTCTCTGGGGCCTGTGCCCACACCAGGGCTCCGGAGCCTGCGGCCGCGTTATCTGGTTCCATCTGCTGGCGACGGTGCCGGCTGCAGTCCCCAGGGGCGGAGGGATCTGCAGCAGAGGTTGGCAACTTTCTGAGGAGAGAATCTGCAGATTCTAGTCAGGAGAGGAATAAGTTCAGCGTAAGCACGCTGTCAGAACTGTAGTGGGAGTTTCAGCACAGTCTCTCGGAGACAGTCCTGCTAGTCCCCTATTTGGGCATATTTCTGCTGTTCAGTGGGACGGACCGCGTTGTTTATTTTGATTTCAGAGAGCTCTGGCTAAGGGCCACCCTGTCTCAGAGATACACTCTTAAAATGTTGCAGTTTAATTTTCCAGTTCCCAGGACTTTGTGGACCCTGCTGCACGTCCTTCAAAGCCTGTCTGCATGCTGTCCTTGGCACTGCTGTGCAGGTTGTTGACCTTACATTTATACCATCCGCTGGCTTGTGGGAACTCCCAAGCTGTGGCATTATTACTGTTGCCAAAGGAGTCTGCAGAGCCATGAGATGATACTAAATAAAACCATCTCTACCTCCACCCACTCCGGGCTGCCTCCTCTCTAGGCAGAGCTGGGAGTTTTCCACCAGAGAGCTTTTTAAACACAGTTTTTCATTCTTCTGCTGAGGTCAGAAGGGCTGAGTGGAGGCAGCGGGAGGTGAGATTTTGCATCTCCTTGCTCCAGTAAGCAGGAGGGGTGGACAGGTTTTGTATCGACATCGGGGCGTGCGTAAGGCCTGCTTGGAATCGGCAGGCTGCACCGGGTTAGTGACAGACGTTTGCTATTTCAGTTAGTTAAACTGTTTTTATCTAGAGATCTGAACCGTTCTAAGGAATGCTCATTTCAGTCCTGTTTGCTTACCCCAAACACTGATAATTTAGTGAAACAGACTGATAAGCACCAACCCAGTCCTCGGTGGCACAAATAAGCTGTGTCTGGGGTGTGTATAGCCTGAGCTCCATCCCGCAGTTTTGCTTTCGTTTGCAGGCAAACCAAACTCAAACCTGAAGTGACAACTGAAATGGTGCGGTCCTCCAGCGTCATGGTTTCAAACAAGGCTTCAATCTTATCAGAACCCAAGTTTGGACTAAGAGATACTATTGTTAAATCTCAGCTTGTACAAATGGAGGATTCCTACACACACATTCAGAGCTTCAGGTAATGATCATTCCTGAGAAGAACTTACTTTTGCGAGGAGTAAGTTAGCATAAGCTGTCAAAATAGCCCATGTTCGTTATTCCCTGCAGAAAAGCATGATCCATACTTTCCAGAACAGCTTTCTTTCCTCATTTAGGCATCAGCAGAGAAGAATTTCATTCACGTCTCTGTCAAGGCTTGCCTTGTGGTTCTTGTTGAGAAAATGGCCTTTTTGAAATGATGTTTTCCTGTGCTTATTTCAGACTGTGTCTGGAAGTGCATCGATTCTGTGCACCTCTGCCTTCTCCCTCACTGCCTCTGCTCACTACTTCGCCATGTAGTTGTTCCAGTAAGCTCATAAAAGCTTGAGTGAAGTACATGATTAGGACCAAAACTTTACTGTGGTTGACATGCTTTTATGCATGTCATTCTATGAATTTATCATTTCAAACTGCTACTGCACAGCTCAGGCCTTCTTTTTTTAATACTATATGTAAAAATCTGTATCCTTCTGTAGAGCACGTCTGTGGAGGCGCTGCTGTAATTGGATAATTTTAGGGGTTTAAACTTTGTCACATTTTCCTGATTCCCCATCGGAACACGTTACTCCTAAATAGTTACGTGTAGCGTTAAGTACAGGTTCAGCAATACCAGTATTCCCACCAGCTCCACAGTTTGCAGCTCTGGGATTTAGCTCGTTCCTTCACAGATTTTTCGTTGGGACGTACAATGTGAACGGTCAGTCGCCCAGGGAAAGCCTCCAGCCCTGGCTCAGATGTGACGCTGAGCCTCCGGACATTTACTGCGTGGGGTGAGTGTCCCTTTCTGTTCTCTGTCCTCCCAAACCTCCACCGTGGGTGGGGTGGTTGTGACTCCGTAGGCCGGGGGTGCTCGGGCAGGACCCCCCAGCTGAGGAGTGTTTGCTTTGCCTCACCCCACTGCGCAGCCTTGGACTCCGTGTTTGCGTAGCCTGGGAGGGCTCTTCTGGTGTGGTTGGACTCTGGCACTGCAGTGTTACAAAATCTTTAATGCCATTCCCTTTCATACTAACAGTAATTTAGCTTTAGCATAGCTCTAAAATCAGCATAACTGAATTTGAGCTTCCAGTTATAAATTTAGTGAGCATGAATTGATCAGGTTCTTTCCCAGAGGAAAGGGCTGGAGAGTTATAAACAAGTGCATGAATCCATGGGTTCCTTCCTCTAACGCAGTTTCCAGGAGCTTGATCTGAGTAAAGAAGCCTTCTTTTTCAACGACACGCCCAAGGAAGAGGAATGGTTTAAAGCTGTAACTGATAGTCTGCACCCAGATGCCAAATATGCAAAGGTACGGGTGGCTTTTGGGGAGGTTTGTGTGTGGAGTCGTTTTCCACCTGGGCCTCTCTGCCCTTTGTTTTCTCTTGCTCTCAGTTGTGTGTCTCCCAGGGGCTCACTGCGGGGTTTGGCCCAGCCCGGAGTGCTCTGCAGTGGGTAGTGTTGCCGTGCAGGTGCCGAGGCAGGGGCAGGACCGCAGACCAGAGCTGGGCATCCACACACAAAGGAAGCTCCCGCTGCCTTGGGACAGGAGTGTCTGAGCTTCCTCCGTGTCTGTCTGCACGGCGTGTGGTGGAGGGAGCGGTGAAGGTGTCTTGGCAGGAATGCTGCCTGCGTTTGGGCTCCTGCCCCTTAGGTCTGCTTTGTCTCCTGTCGCTGCAGTTGAAGGGAAGCTCCTTCTGTGGGCTGGGCCTGTGCTGTAGGTTTTGCTTTGGGCTTCAGCGCCCTTCCCTGGGGTGCTGGTCCCTGGCTCCTCCCTGTGCTGTGCTGCTGGGGTGCCTGTGTGCTCTGAGCCCCGCTGGGCCGGCGGATGAGCCTGGAACCCAGGACTGTCTTCATCTGTGTTTTGGTGACCCGTGTTCTGGAGTGGGGGGCGATGTGCCTTCTCTCACCAGACCTCTCCCATTCTAGTATTTAATGGAACAGGTTCTCTTTTCCAGGTGAAACTTGTGCGGCTCGTGGGAATCATGCTTCTGTTGTATGTGAGAGCAGAGCTTGCTTTGAACATCTCCGAGGTGGAAATTGAGACTGTGGGAACTGGAATCATGGGCAGGATGGTAAGAATGGCAACTGTGCATGAGAAGCCTCGTGGTTATTGCCCCAGCTGAGGGCTGCAGGTGGGGGCACACGGTCCTGCCCCTGTGCCAGCGCAGGGCCGTGCTCGAGGCAGCTGCCGTGCGCTCGCAAAGCCTCCCAGACCTCGAGGGAGGAGCTGCTCTCGAGGGGTTTTTTTTCTGATAGCATGTGCTGGGCCACATGGTGCCTTGCTCTCGTGTGATTTTTGATGCTGGCTGTTATTTTGCCCAAATAACACAAGGAAACACGAGTAGAGGAAACATGCCTATTCACATCAGTTTTCCTGAGTGGGACTTCCTGGCCTCTTGCCATTCCACGCTGCTGGAATGAAGTCTGTGCCCTTTGAGTGTAGTTGCTGTGAACATTGCAGCTATAACTTGTCAAAGGTATTTCTGACCAGCTAAGCCATGTGCTTTTTCCTCCATTTAAAATTTTTTCGTGGTTTTTGTTGAAAGATCCAGTTTGTTGCTAAATAGGTTTCGGGACTTGCTGAAGTAACTGACCAGCAGTGTTACTGATTTTAATATCCTTTTGTATCAGCTAATTCCTGAACTGCAAACAGAGTTCCATGTGCTTGCTTGCTGTGTTCTGTTGCTGTGTGCAACCTTCATGTGAATTACTGACTTGATTTCACGAAGTGATTCTCACTAATTGGTGTTTTCAGCCTTTTTCTTCCTCTGGAATTAAGTGGCTGCCTCTTCTGGCTTGTCCACTGCTAGTAACTCATGGACTGTGGATTAATCTCTTGTGTAGAAGCTTCTGACCAACATCTTTGTCTTTATCTTTCAGGGTAACAAAGGAGGTGTTGCCATAAGGTTTAAATTCCATAACACGAGCGTGTGCGTTGTGAATTCTCACCTTGCAGCTCACATGGAGGAATATGAGCGGAGGAACCAGGACTTCAAAGACATCTGCTCTCGGATGCAGTTCTGCCAGGCGGATCCAAATTTGCCCCCTCTCACTATCAGCAAACACGAGTACGCTTCCTGCCCGCCCGCGCCATCGCGGGTCCCGGGGGGGCTCTCTCGGCAGGGACGTGGGAAGGGTGCCCCGTGATCTGACCGTCGGCCTGGCGCGGCCAGACACGCCTCACCCCAACCTCAGTTTTACGAGTGGTCACCTGCCCAGTTCTGTCACTTGCCTTCTTGTGCTCTTCCAGGCCTTGTTTTATTTTCAAGCATGCAGTGGGACTGGGGCAGTAACATGCACCGATTCCCCCAGTCTGGGGTGGGCTTTAGCCCGTGTAGGATATTAAAAGCTCTAGTTACTAGGAGGTAGTGACAGACATGCAGAACAGGAGTTGAAACCAGCGAAGGTAGAAAACGCAGCTTCTCTTTCAAGTTTCTGCTCCTGTTCTCTCTGATGGGGAGTGGGCCCCGCGTCCGGCTGTCGAGGTGAGGAGAGCCCGTGCTGGCGCTGGCTGGCTTAGGGCACTGCTGTGCCTCCAGCTCGCCGCCTGCTCGCCCGCTGGACACCTTCAGGCCTCTGCAGACCTCTGGTGTACGTTCTCTTTCAGTGTGATCTTATGGCTGGGTGACCTCAACTATCGGCTGGAGGAACTGGACGTGGCGAAAGTGAAGCAGCTTGTCGATGAGAAAGCGTTCGTAGAGCTTTGCCAGTATGACCAGGTGCTGAGGTCTGCCTGCCCACGGGGCGCTGAGGCTGCCACTGAGAAACTGCACTCACGCTCAGGGCTGGACATCCCCCCGCTAGCTCATACGGGAACTGTGCTTGAGCTTATTTAATATTTAATGCTTTGTCTTTTTTTCTTTCATAGCTGAAGAGGCAAATGAATGCAAATGCAGCCTTTGAAGGCTTTACAGAGGGAGAGATTTCTTTCCAGCCAACGTACAAATATGATGCTGGCTGTGATGACTGGGACACAAGGTACGGTGATCGCCTCGTACGTGATGCTGCCAATGGCTCGTGTTATTGCTGAAGGAAGTAAAAACAAAGCTAAAAAGAACTGCAGATCTAATGTCTATAAATAGGAACAGCTCTGACATTATTGCTGTTCCTCTCCCTTGGCTCCAAATCCATCTCCAGTTTGCATCTATTTATGTTGCTTTTCTTCCACTGCTGTTTGTCAGATATTCCTAATCTTTTTTCCAGGAATAATTCGTTGGGTTTCCTCTTAGTTAGAGGTGTACAACATTAAGAAATCATTTTAGTTAGTTTAATTCTTTTTGTTTGGTTGGGGTTTTTTTCCCCCAAGCAAAATTTTTAGGATCTTTTATTTGCTGACACTGTCAGCTGCTGTGCCTGCTCGGGTCAGAGCCGCTGGGGGTGGAAACGCAGCATCTGTCCAGGGTTCTCCAGAACCACCATCCCTCTAACACCCCGCACAGAGCGGCCGGCCTGGTCTTAGTAAAGTGGGAACGTGGGCTCCAAGTGCGGGAATTAAATCTGTGCAGCAGTCGGTGGAAAAAAAAAAAAAAGAACATTAAGTGTAGTGCCTGAGTGCTTAGTTTTCATGGTTCTTGTGGTCAAAAGTATCTCTTGAGTATTGCTTTGTATGTTAATTATATCAAAAGAACAAAACAAATAATTGCATCTTTGAGGAAGTAGAAAGTAAAGCGTGATCTAGAGATACCTGATAGCAGTAGAGTTTATAACTCCTCAAAGAAACTGGAAAATACCGCTTTGACAGAGAACTAGCTCCAGGGCGTGTCAGGGGAGAGCAGTATTCTGCCTCGTGCTGTTACTGCCCCTGACCCGTGCCTGGGAACTGTGATTTTTCCCTGTTCCAGTGAGAAGTGTCGTGTTCCAGCGTGGTGCGATCGGATACTCTGGAAAGGGCAGAACGTTGCTCAGCTGAGCTACCGCAGCCATATGGCTCTGAAGATCAGTGACCATAAGCCGGTCAGCTCCGTGTTTGATATTGGGGTGAGTGCTGCAGGAGAGGCGCCGCTGGCCTCTCCGTGTGGGGAGAGGGGGAGGAGGAGGGAGCTTCTGCTGATTTCCCTCTCCTCCTGCTTTTACAGCATCCCCAGAGGACAGTGGCTTAAAAGTCGGGCTAGATAAGACTGAGATAGGATTGTTGTTCATAGTAAGCCCGGGCTGTGTTGATAATGCTTCAGTTAAACAGAATAATGCATGAATACCTGTAGATGTTTCTTCAGAGGTGTTCTTTTGCCTTTTTTCTTATTTTCCTAATCTCACAGAGACTTGCAGTGCAGGAATGCTACATCATTGACAACACAGTAGTGTGTCGTCAGGCATTTTTAGGAAAACGAAGCTGATCGAGTCCTGACTGGGTGACTCTTGCTCGTTATGGCAAGGTCCTTTGCTGTTGGGTGCCGAGGAGATGGCTCTGTTTGCCACGTGCTGTACACACTTGTGTGCTGCTCAAATCCAATCAAAAATGCCTGTTCCCAGCCGTGTTACGGCTTGCCTGCGGAGGCACAGTACTTGCCACTTGGTGCAGCGTGTGTCCTTTCCAGGTGAAGGTTGTGAACGAGGAGCTCTATCGAAAAGCCTTTGAGGAAATAGTCCGCTCCCTGGATAAGCTGGAGAACGCCAACATTCCCTCGGTGACCCTCTCCCAGAGAGAGGTAGGGTGTGTTCGTGTGCTGGAGAAACCGAGCAACCCCAGAGCCCCGAAGCGTGAAGTACCTCAGGTGGATTCCAGACCCCGGGGTCGGGTTCCCAAGTAGAATGTTTTGACTCCAGCTGTTCTCTGTTTACAAGCCCTAGAAATACTTGTTGCTGTTTAGATGCAGGTAAATTCCATTCACAGTACCAAGCTGAAAGACAGGGCGTGTTACTCCCTGGGGTGGGGAGAGAGAGTAAAAGGGTAGTTTGTGGCCCTTGCTCTGACTTGTTTGAAACATAAAATGTAAAATCTGAAGGATTTGGAGAAGGTCACAAAACCGGCATTTGCTTTGTGTGTTGGGGACTAAAAAAGATAAGCAAATGAGACATTTGAGGCTACAGCTATCTTGTTCTCAGGTTTCTTTGAGGTTATTTGAGGGGAGCATTAAAGGGCCCACTGATGCAAATGACTTTAGCCTACAGAGTAAGCAAACATAGTCCTTTGTAATCGGGAGGGGATGGGGTGCGGGAGCACGAGGGTTAATCCGGGGATCTTGGTGCTTAATGATTAAACCCCAGGACAGGAATTGCTGCTGGTGCTTGGCAAGAAGGAACTGGCTGATGATGTTGACTGACATTTGTTCCTAGTTCCATTTTGAGGATGTTAAGTACATGCAGCTGCAGGTAGAGAAGTTTACAATCTGCAATGGACCGGTGCCCTGCCAGTTCGAGTTTATCAGCAAACCAGATGAGGAAACCTACTGCAAGGAGTGGCTGATCGCTAACCCCAGTAAGGGCTTTCTGCTTCCAGGTGAGCTCCTCGCTGTTCATCCCGTGTTAGTGAGCTAAATTGTCACCTTCTGATTTAACTCTCTCTGCTGTTCTGAGGCCTGTTTGCAGGCTTACTGGTTTACTACGTTTTTATAACTGGGTATGGGGGGTTTTGTCATCTTCTGGCAGATGCTGAAATCACAGTTGAGTTGGAGGTGTTTGTTAATAAATCAACAGCTACACACTTAAACTCTGGAGAGGAAAAACTTGAAGACATCTTGGTCTTGCATCTGAACAGGGGGAAGGATTATTTTCTGTCTGTAACAGGCAACTACTTGCCAAGTTGCTTTGGGTCTCCCATTCATACGCTGTGTTACATGAGGGAACCGATCCAGGACATGTCAGCAGAATCCATTCGGAAACTTGTGAGTTAAAGGCAAGATTCCCTTCCGAACCCACGAGAACCATTGAAACTAGATGTTCAGTCCTGTTTATTGCTAGAGAGCCTTCTCCCACCTCCCCGATCCACAGTCTGAGTGCTGATAGAGCTCGTGCTCTCCTGGGCACCGCCCGCACACCTCTTCACAGGGATGAACCAACCCGTTCCGTGCAGAGAGCGCTGCAAGTAAGACCCCATGTGCTCTGCCCGCACATTTAAAGAGGTGTGCAGCTTCCACGTGTAGACCTTTTCCCCAGAGCCTTTGCCTTTCTCGCACTGAGCGGCGACGTGTGTGTATGTGAGGCCTGATGGAACTCATACATCCCTGGAGCTGAGCGTAGGTGCAGCCTGTTTGTCAGAGCGGCTTTTTTCTTCTGTCTGGACTCTTGATATAAATGTGCCCGTTGTACTAGTCTGGTGTGAAGACTGGTGAGTGAAGCCGCAGAGTTTCTTAACAAGTCTTAACCCTCAGGTATAAGTTCTGTGAAGCATTTTTGCGGAGATGAACGAGAACTTGGCTAGCTACCTCTTCTCTTCTCTTCTCCCCCTTCCCCACACCTCCCTCTCTCAGACCCTGATGCCACTAGAAATGAGTGATGACGATGTTGGAGCTGAAAAGCCCATGGACATTCCGAAAGAGTTGTGGATGATGGTGGATCACCTGTACCGCAATGCTTCCCAGCAGGTTGGTAGAGTTTCTACTGGGAACACAAAATTATTGGTCTGTGTTGGGTTTAGTTTTGAAGACGATACTGGTAATGGCAGTCATGGCTACCTGTGGATGTTTGGCCAACGGTAAAGAGAGATAAAGGACATCTGCGATGAGTGACACTGGTGCCACGGGTGCACCGTTCCGTGACGGTGACCTTGTCCGTGCGCATGTGCCAATGAGAGCTGCTCAGGGTGGGATTTCTGCTGATAAATACCCATTTGGAGAGATTTTTACAGCCAGATTATGACAACATTGCTCTATTTAACCCAAATAACTTTTATCTTCCTCTAGACTAACTAACGGTCTGCTTTGCAGGAGGACCTCTTTCAGCAGCCAGGCCTCAGATCTGAATTTGAGCAAATCCGAGATTGTTTGGACAAAGGAATGCATGATACCCTCCGTATCCTTCTAGACTGGTGTCTGGTAAGGCTCGCTGTGCCTTAGGGATCAAAGCTGGAAAAGATTTTACCAGTCTTTTATGCTCCGCCATGGTTTTTAAGTGACTATCTGTCATCTCGGGGTAACTGAGATCTGCAGAGATCTCACTACTCCTTGTAATCAGCACGAATCCTCCGCTGAGTCCTCACAGTGTTGGTGAGTTACGCAAGTGTCCAACAGCCAGCTTGCTGTGCAGGGTCAAGTGATCCAACTCAAAGCTGAACAATAGGAGGAGTTCTCGGAGACCTGAGCAGAGATTAATGTTTCAGCAGAAAAATGCCCAAAATAGATCAGGCTGTGCTTGCCCCTTCCTTAACCTTTGGACCAGTTGGCAGCAACCACTCGGTCGCAGAAGCGCTGCTGCTCTTCCTGGAGAGCCTGCCCGAGCCCGTCGTCTGCTACAGGGTCTACAGCAGCTGCTTGGAGAGTGCCAGCAACTACCCGCTGAGCAGCCAGGTACTGCCGGCTTCGCTGAGACCGCCCCTCAGATTCCGGAGGGAGGGGAGGCCAGATGGGTTATGCACTGACAGGGTTCTGCTCTCAGAAACTTAATCATCGAAAGGACCTAGAACTGGTGCTTCTTGGTTATTAAGAGCTGTTAGTATGTGCAGACACGGTGATGTCGGTAGTAGATAAAGCTGTAAGACATTGCCATGTCTTCAATATAAATGTTGTGGTGTTTTGTTTTTTTTTCTTTTTCTCCTCTCAGATTATCTCTAACCTGCCAGCGTGCCATAAAAATGTGTTTGAATATCTAATGGCGTTTCTGCGAGAACTACTGAAAAATTCAGGGAAAAACCATTTGGATGTGAATATTCTTGGTAAGGCGAGCAAAATAACCATTCTGGTCAGAGGGGCTTTGCAGTTTGTGTAACAAAACACATTGCTCCGAAGTGAGTGCAGTCAGAGCTCTGCTGGTCTGGAGCTGCTGGTAATGAGCAAACGGTCCCTAGACAATGTCGGTGCAGTAGCCAGAAAAAAGTCCTTAAGTGGCTCAGAGATTTTACCCTCCAGACACTCTGGTGGACCGATCGGGGTTGGTGGAATCGCCCTTGATAACCCGCTGCTAACGGGCTCTTATTGTGTGTCTGTGGCTCTTTTTTCATTTAAATGCAGCTAGTACATTTGGTGGCTTGTTACTTCGACCTCCTCCTGGACATCCTACACCTGATATAGCTGAAAAGAGGAAAGCTCAGCAATTTATCCACCAGTTCCTCTTGAGAGAAGACAACTTGCGATGAATTTCAGATGCAGCTAATCTTATTTTTAGATATCAAATTACTGTAAAAATATTTTTTTGTATAGTGGCTTTTAAAAAATATCACAGTATTTTATACAATCTATTGCTTTTGAAGGCACAGCAGGCAGTTTGAATCAAGTGTCACTGTTTTAAGCTGTAAAGTGTATCAGATTTCTAAATAAGCTGTATGTAGACAAGCAAAAATATAAAAGCTGGTATTTACACTGTATTTTATTTAACTTGTATTTAAACTCAGAATTTTTAAGTCCTTGTTATTTAAATAAAAAGATCTCAGTGCATTTTTCCAGCCTATCTATCTGCCATTTTCAGTGTTGGCTGGTTTAGGCCAAGTCACATTGTGGGGGGCCCAGAGCAGCCCCCTGCCCGGTTCACGGGGTGTTACAGGAATCGGTCTGGGGTCTTCCACTCCCCACCCCTGTAGCTCTTTGAGGCAGCGTAGCAACAGGGACTGGTGATCCAATGGAGGTGAGGGCCTGGTCTGCAGAAATGGGTTATTTTAAAACCCGGCGCTGGCTGGTGTGTAGAGCGGTGCCTGGCAGATGGTGGGGAGGGTGTGGGGGAAGAGGCGGGGGCTGCTGTGAGGAACAGAGGCCTCCACTCCAGGGGAGCCCCGACTTTGAAAATACTGGGTAAGCTGCGAAGGCGTTTGCTGCCCGTCACTGGGCGCCCGTGCCCGGTAGCAGCTGCCGTGACCCGATGGGGATCCTATGACTTATCTTTGAAAAAGCAGAGGTAAACGCCCCCCCCGCCGCCCGTCCTTCTCTTGCAGATGAGTCGTTACGGTGTAACTTCACGATATCGCACTGAGAGGCGGTGTGCCATGGGGGAGAACAGTCCTGAAGGCAACGTTATCTACTATGAAGTGGAGGAATATGATTTAGCCCAAGATGACAATATGATGAGGTTTGCTGATAAAAACGGGCTGGTGTCTTCATCATCTGGGATGGTCTATGACAGGACAACTGTTCTAATAGAGCAGGACCACAGTGTGCTGGAAGATGATGAGGATGAAGGACAGTGTGGTGATCACTTGCCTTTTTTACCAGAAGGTCATGAAGAAGGATTTCATTTAATAGCAGATCATGAAGGAATGTCCCAGGGTTACGTGCAACATATTATTTCTCCAGATCAGATTCATTTAACTATAAATCCTGGTTCAACTCCTATGCCAAGAAATATCGAAGGAGCAACGCTCACTTTGCAGTCTGAATGCCCAGAAACTAAGCTTAAAGAAGTAAGTAGCTAAATACGATTCTGAATTTTGTGCTTATTGTGAGTACTTTTTGCAAGATAACCTTAAATGCTTTGAAAACATGTTTTTCTAAAGCTGTTTGCTGCGTTGCAGACAGAAGTTTCCCTTGTTCTTACAGGTTACTATACAGCGGAGTGAATTGCAATCCGTTAAATCAGCTGTTACTTTTAGGGGTAGTAGCGTTTTGTGATGACAGGCATAACTGTTCCCACAGTCACTTAGCGGGTCAGCAGCAATGCTGTGCATGTCCTCAGTTTTCACTCTGGTATCCTGCAGCCAGGAAGCACTTTTTGACGTGTGGTAACACACTAGGTAGCAGGAAAATATGGCACTGAAAATGTGTTTATATTAGTGGTATGTGTGATTTCAGTGGGCTTTTATTTCTCTTTTGGTTGGGCAGTTATTTCCTGAGTTCAGAGATAACTAAAAAGAACGTGAACTCTGTTATTCCGTGGTTAACCACATTCTTGAGAAAAGCACGTCCAAGCTACAGGTTAAATTCCAGACTGTTGGCGGCAGCTAAAATGTGAAACTTAAGATGCCAGACTTTAATTACTTGTAGTTTTATTGTGTCAGTCACATGGACACTATGAGAAGAATATAAGGGAATCTTTATCTGTTTGTTCAATATCTGTTGTCTTTTGAAAGCTTAAGTTAGCTCACATATAAAATAGCAATTACTTTAAATTCTGTTCCCCTCATGAATTCTGCCTGCGTGCAAAGTGGTGAGGGCTTGTACAGGCTGACTTGGGATTCTTGCTTTTTAGCTGCAAAAGCAACACAGAGTTGTCACTCTGTTGGTATTTCAGTCAACTTTGTGTGTGCTCTTTTTGGCCTTTCTGGGTTAAATAAGGGACGAACTGAACAAGTGTCTGCTCCTGTCAGTGGTGGTAGTATCAACTGCTTGTGTAACTGATATTCGGTGTAAGAGAGAATTGCAGAAATGAGCCCTTGCTGAGAAAGGAAGCTGGGTTTGAATGCTCTGAATAATTTAGATTAGCAGGCAACCTTCATTATCGCTTGTTCGGCGGTGAGGAAATGGTGCTGTAGGAGGTCAGCTCTGCAATTATGGAACTCCTGGACTGAGGTTTGTTCAATAAGCTCATTCAGGTCTGTTATGGTTTAGGACCAGAGGGCAACTGAGCACCACGCAGCCATTCACTCGCTCCTTCCCACCCAGTGCTGCGAAGGAGAAAATCAAACAAGAGGGCTCAGGAATGGAGATGAGGACAGCGAGGGGTCTCTCGCCCATTTAAACAGTCACAGGCTAAAAGGCAGACTCTTAGGGGAAGAGAAACAAGAACATCACTTTAATTCAAACACTAACAAAGCCAACACTTAACAGACAGAATGGGTCAATGAGAAGCCTTATGGCATCTTAAAACACCTTCCCCCCGCTCCTCACTTCATCCCTGGCCCAGCTTCTGTTCCCGGGTCGGACTCGGAGATGGGGGGGCCACCACTGCAGAGCCCACCACCCCCCAAGCCAGCACGTGGTTGAAGGAACTCCTTTTGCTCGGTTATTATTCATGTTACCAGCTGCTCTATCCTACCTCCTTAACTGCTAAAATATTTAATTTTTGAATGTAAAAAAAAAAATTCTCTTTATAGGATAGTAAGCTTGCAATCTGTAGTGTCTGAGAACAGTATGTACTCGCTAAACAGGTGTTGATAGCTGCATATGCAATTAAACTGACTTTATTTCTTCACCCTCCCTTTTTAAAAAGGCTTGCTTATAAGATCTGGAATTTCCTAACGAAACCCTTTTATCTGAATTTGTTTACCATCTCTTGAGTTAATTTTCTGGGCCAGGGGGAGTTACACTGTAATTGCGTGCAGTGGAAATAAGCCCTAAGACACATAACATGCTTCCCTCTTGTCAAAGCCCTTCCTGTCCTGCTGCTCCTGCAGTTCCAAATGCTGGAGAAGTTGACTGGAGATGAAGAGGGGGGGAAGCTCTAAAACCCCTCAATATTTAACTCATCTCTAAAAGTCAGCAGTTGGATTCTTTGCTGCTTCCAAAACATCTGTAGCAGTTCTAACACTGAGATAACTCTTAAAGTCTTAAATTTTCAGGTCAGTCTTTGACATATATGAAGCAAAAGAGGGTTTTACACTTCATTAATTATCTTTTCATCTTTCTCTTGTTACATTGTATTTCTCTCACTAATTCTGTCTGCAGGAATAAATGTGATTATAGTCTTGTATTTCAAATTAATTTTTTTTAGTCAGTGATGACGCAATAAAAATAGCACTTTAAGGGGTACCATAAACTCAAGATGAGTTAAAGGCAGACTGAGGAGTTTAAGCAGACTTTGGAACAGTGTGTCGGTCTCTGCTTTTGCCAGTCTTGTTGCTTATTGGACAATTAGTTCCTACTTCTGAGGTAGATGCTTAATTAAGACTCTTGTAGCTTCCCTCTGCACCTTGGGAGAGAGCGCACGCTGTCCTTCGCAGAACGCGTGTGCGATGCAGCCGCAGCCTTTGTCTTCAAGGCAACTTGTTTCTGTGCGCTCGTATCCTGGCCATCTGTGGCTTTCCCTGTTGCTGCCATGTCTCTTTTTTTGTTGCTGCTTGCGTATGGCGATAGTCTTGAGTGCTTGCTGCTGTAACTGCAAGTCTTTCACGGTCAATATCTACATAATTTTATGGGTATAATCAGTGCTTATTTGATGTGCTAATGTTCCTAATGTGAAAAGAGAATTAAATGCTTTGCTGCTTTACAGAATGTTTTATTTTGCTTAGAACACGGTGGTAGCATTGCTTCTGTCTGCAGTATCCTTCTCAGAATAATTAGTGGAATAAAGATTTGGCCTTTGGGAGAAGGGGGAGCGCTGCGAGGCCTTTGTGGTAGTTCAGGCGTTAAACCGAAAGTGTTACTGCCATCTTCCTTTGAACACGTGCATTGGCAGCTAGGAACCAAATCCTTTTATGCATTTAATATTCTCCTTTTCTTTCACTTGCTAGACCTAAATGTAAGCACCTAGAAAGCTTAAGAGGCTCCTCGCCTGGTTTTTAGGTAGTTCATGCCTGTGTCAAGTTGTCTGTGTGTTAGGGGAGGTGCTGGGGAGAATGTCCTGTAATGCAGTAAAATGATCATTTCCAGCTACCTTTAAAACTCTTAACGGGAACATTTGCTAATACATAACCTGTACTGAACCGGACGATCCCCGAGGAGGACAGTGCCCCCCCTCTTCTCTAACGCAGCGAGCTCTCTGACCTTGCGTCTGCGTTACCGGTTGTGCTGTTGCGTTTTGGCTGACTCAGCACAACCAAACTTGGTCATTGTGTTGTAACTACATTGTAATGCTTGGATATTTATTGACAACTTTTACCTGATTTGAGCTATAAATTAAGGGCAAGTTGCTTTACAGTGAAATCACTGTTTCCTTCTCTGTACGGTGCTTCTAATAATGCAAAGTGACTGGGTAAATATGCGAAGCCCTCTGAAATCTCTTCTCTGTGTGAGCTGACACAGGCAGGACCAACCACAAAACCGCGAATGCAATGCAAAGAGTAAATTTGTTCTCGTTACCCTGTGACCCGGGGGATCTTGGCAGCAGCACCCGGGCAGAGGCACGCGGAGCAGGGACCTGCGCAGGCGCCACGGAGCTCAGTCCTTGCTAGCCAGGAGCGAGGGACAATCATGAACCTGCTGCTTTCACCTGTATCTGTGGGGATTTTCGCAGGCACAGTTTTGCGCTGCACTTTGATCCTTCCCCCAGCAGGGCATGACTCTCCAGGATGTTCCACGCGGTGCCTGCGAGTCCCTGGCAGGCCGGCGTTACCCCAGCGCAGACGTTCCACCGAGCCGCAGTTAGGGGATGACGCGTGCTCTGGCACCCCGGGTGCCTCCTCGCCAACCTTCCGCTGTGCTCCTCCACTCCTCCCGTTGCTGTCGGTCGTGTCCTCCAGATACTTTGTTCAATGTAAACTCGATGTTTTTCATCTCTCCTCTTCTTGCTGTCTTGTCCAAAATCAGGGGAGAATCAGACACAAAGGTTAACAGCTGGTTTTGGTGTAGGGTACTGCTT